TGGCCCGATTAGACCTTCTTTTGGCTTCAGTTTTATATTTTGTGCTTTGAGGAGAAAGCAGCTATGCTTCAACTGCAGTTAAGTACAAATCCTGAATTGTATTATAACAGCAAATATACATGGATCCTATGTAAGTATGTCAAGAAATCATCATTCATCATCAATGTAAGATTGTTGGAGTCTAGTGTTGGAAATTAGAAACTCTAAGCTGATAATTATTGGAAACTATCAGAATTAGTTATAACCTTTTGGAGACTAAAAATCAATCATCTCAGAGGTAGATGGCAAATATGTTCACACAATGTTCAGGTCCAATTCACTCTCAAAGTTAGCTCTTCTGCTATCATAATATTTACAACGAAACTACCAACAGTAACATCTCATTTCCAATCAGCGTTTTCTATTATTGCCCCTGAACGAAAAATCGAGTTTGTCGCTGGGCCAATGGTGTTATAATTGGCTAAGTTTAAACTGGACTAGGTTATGGAAATTGGCTCAAGGGTATGCACGAGAAGTGACTTTTATTCCATCAAAGTGACTTTATCCCTATTTAAATACACTTTTTTATATTAAAAAAAAAATCTCTATAAATCCTAGTTAATACTGAAAATAGCCCTCCTTAATCAGGTTTATTAGGGTTTTATTTGCAGTTATTTCCCCCAATTCAAATTTAATAAGGTTTTTAATTAAACCACTTTCCCCAATTTCAAATTTGATAATTTTTTATTTTTTTATTTTTGTTTTTACCCATTTTTTTCAATTTCAAATTTGATACTTTTTTTCCCTTTCAAATTAGATTCATCATGTGTGTGATTACTCTTTTCATAACTTTACTAATATTTTCATCAAAAAAATAATTATTTGAATAAAAAAATGTTTCATGATTTAGAAAATTTAGATTTAGGGTTTAAGTAAGGATCAAAGGTTAAAAACTAAAACAAATATATAAAAAAAGACGGATATAGAAATCATTATGTCATTAAGGTTAAATTTGTCAAAAACAAAAATAAATTTAAAAGTAGATATATGGACCAATTTGATAGGGGTAATTTACTTATATGCCACAACTGCCCTCTGCCATGGGTATTAGGCTTAAGGTTAATCACTTCAAATAATGCTTGTGTAAAGCTCAAAAGCTAATAGATAAAATCAATTAACAAGAGAAAGAACAAAACCCACTCCTTAGTTTATAAGTTTATGATTCACATCACTCCATTAGTGTCGTCCTTTCACTGTTAGTTTACCTGTTCGAACTCATCTTGATATAATATTTGTATTTTTAAATCCTAACAAAGGAAATAGGTCAAAGGTAAATCATTGAATCAGTACCCTTATGATAGAAGTCTTTTTCAAGTATACTTAATGTCCTAGCCAAAGTCAATGAATCAACCCTTACGATAGAAGTCTTCTAGACACTTAATGCCAAGGATCAGGTTGGCGATTGAATTTCTTCTCATAGATAGGCTAAGTCCTTGTCTGTTGTCCCCAACCTGCTCACTTTATGTATCACAAGATAATACAATTAAATTATATATATGCAAATGCCCCATGAAAATCCAAATGGTCTAAAATTTAGTTGGAATGAATAATATTATATATTATATATTTCACATGGTATCAATGTTTTGTATTTTGTAGTTCAATTGGTAACTAAAATGGAAGGCAGCTATGCTTCTATGCAGTTAATGTTGATAACAGCGATAATACTCTTGAATCATATTGTATGTCAAGAAATCATTATTCATCATCAATTTTAGATTATTGGAAGGTATAGGTTGGAAATTAGAAGCTCTCAGTGATCACGATGGAATCAGTCGGAATTGTTATAACCTTTGGTTTTAGGAGGGTTAAATAATCAAAACTGTCAAAATTGGAGACTTCAAATATCTACTAAAATCGAAAATAGAATACTGAGCAGATGACAAATATATGTTTTACACAATATGCAGGTCGAGTTTAAGCTTACTATTTTGTTTGTGATTCACATCACTAGGCCAGTGTCGTTCCTTTGACCTGGTTACAATAAAGCTTGAATATATTACAATAAATGCTTGATAATATAACGAATTGATAGTACGTAATGAGAAAATTTCAAATTATATTTCAATATTCACCAATAAAATTTAAACGTGATGTATTAATTTTTAGAACAAAGAAATTCTCAAATTCCGACTAATATTTCTCTTTTTAAGTGTTATATATTCTTGATAAGTACTCTATGTTGATTAAATAACACTTTAATCCGAAAAAAAAAAAAAAAAAAATCATCAAGGAAATAAAGAATTCTTATTTTCATTCTTGAGATTATTTTGAACTTATTTACTTTCATATTAAAATCAACAAGAATTATTAAACTAATTAAAATAAAGAATTATTTATTTCCTCAGTGCCGCGCTTTAATGGAGTATGACCCAGTTTGAACACTATTGCTATTAAATATTTGATATTGTTCTACATCACCTCCTTAACATCAGAGAATTGGTCATATTTGGAAAATCTTGATAAAGGATGAGCAAGCAAAGTAAATCACTCTTACGATAGAAGTCCTTTCCGATATATTTAATGTCATAGCCAAAGTCATGAATCAACCCTTACCATAAAGTCTTCCTAGATACTTAATGCCGGGACCAGGCGGTTGGCCTTAATTTCATCTCTCATAGATAGGCTAATGTCTTGTCTGGTTTCCTACCTTTTCACATTTTAATTTTATTCACAAGATAATCAATTGAATATATAATTCTGCAAATGCCCATGAAAATTAATTTCAGATGGTACTAAAATTTAGTACATGAATATACTTATGACTATTTCCGTATAGATAGCTTACACGAAACTGACTAATATTCCTATATATTATTCATCAATATTGTCTGTTCCATAGTGTATAATTGCAAATACACAGGATGAAAACAATTGGCAATGGATCGAGGTGTTAAGAAGAAAAGTCAATGAATCAACACTGCCATAAAAGTCTTTCTCAAGTCAAGAGTACTTTCTAGGGTCAGGGATGAGTTAGGCGATTAATTAATTGCTTCCTCTTCGTATTGGTTGATGTTCTTGTTTAGCGCGTTCCGCTCCCCTTTAATTACAAATTAACAGTACAGTTGGATTTGAAAATTCCTCAAGTGCCCCCTCCTGAAAATTCCACTATAAAACTAACAGCATGCTTTGAGTACTTAATAGAAAAATTAATGAGCATCCTATAATATAGTATTCACAGCATTTTGAACTGTATGAGACACAGAGAAGAAAATGAAATTGGAAATGGAGATTGTACTATTAGAGCATTTCTAGCTGCTTTTGCTCTTATCTTCTGCAGGTCCATGCTAGGAACCAGGTATTGCATTTCCGAATCTTTTGTAATATGATTGTCTCAGAAAATGTAAGTGAGAACTAGTAATAATTTTTCTCTCTTTCCAGGATTCATCAGCATAGATTGTGGAGCAAACTCAAACTACACTGATTCACAAACTGGCCTTATTACGTTTCCGATGCAAGCTTCGTAGAAACTGGGATAAGCAGCAGTGTAGCACTATCGTATCAATCAGATAGTCTTGAAAAACCGTTATGGACTCTCAGAAGCTTTCCTGAAGGTTCAAAAACTGTACCATGTAAAAGTTACGGAACACGGTAGATATTTGATGAGAGCGTACTTCTTTTATGGAAATTATGATGAAAAAGTTACACCACCGAATCATTTGATTTGTACCTGGGAGTTAATCTGTGGGATTCTGTGGTTCTTGGCGATGTTCTACTCCATATTTAAGGAGATCATACTGTTTCGCCAACGAATTATATGACGTCTGTTGGTAATACAGGTTCGGGACACCATATTTATCTTTAGATCAGGCCCCTGAGAAGTACCATTACGTAACTCAATCTGGATCGCTTATGTTGTATAAAAGGATGAAAGTTCAACCAACTACAAATCGAACAATCAGGTGATGAGCCATTTACGTACAATATTTTGTTAACAATTTTGAGATCTATTCACTCTATGCTTAATAGAAAGAAAATATTCCTGCAGGTATCCTGATGATGTTTTCGATCGGGTATGGATGGCATATAACAATCCGACTGGAAACAATTACTGTGTTTATATCTATGATGTTGATAGTAATACTGATTATAAGCCTCCACAATGTGTTAGAGGTGCTGGTACACCAAAAATTGAAGTGACCCCTTACAATTCTCTTTAAGCACCCGGATTCGACTTCCCAGCTTTATGTGTACATGCACTTTGCGGAAATGAATATTCTCAGAAAATCAGTCAAGAAGATTCAATATTTCTTGAATGGAGGTTTGAATGGAAATTTCGTCTGAACCGATTTCTCCATGTTACACGTGCGCGACCACTTTTCACTTTCCTTCAGTCTTTATCGGAGGACACTGTGATATTTTAATCACTAAAACTGAAGATTCAACCTCCTCCAATTCTCAACGCTGTCGAATTTATCTAGTTAAAGATTTCGCACAGTCAGAAACCGACCAAGTAGATGGTAAGCTCTCCGAATTAGAATATATGCATTTCACTGTCTGTATAAACATTTTTGAATACTTACATATGGAAACATCAGCTGATGTATCAAGAATATCAAGTCATTGTATAAGATAAAAGATTGGCAAGGAGATCCCTGTGCCCCTCAAGAATACTTGTGGGATGGCCTTGATTGCAGCTTCAATGGTAGTAATCCTCCAAGAATTATTTCTCTGTAAGTTCATGTATTCAAGAACATATTCTATGTGACTTTTTATTTATTTATTTATTTTTTGACTCTTTTGTTAATCAAATTAATGGACATCAATTTAGGAATTTATCTTCAAATGGACTGACTGGTGAGATACTCCTTACATATCCAATCTACAATGATACAACACCTGTAAGCATAATCTTAGTCCCTTATGCTTCGGTGCTGTCACATATTTAAAGATGAATTAAATTTGATGCACTCCAAAAAATATCTATTCTATGTAGGGACTTATCAAACAATAGTTTGACGGATCAGTGCCCGAGTTTCTGTCTCAGCTGCCATTCTTGAAGACCTTGTAAGTTGATATCTTGGGATATTTAAACTGAAATGGCATGTTTCTTGATATTAAAGCTAAGAACTAATTCACATTTCTGGTATGATTTTTGCAGAAACTTAAGTGGAAATATGCTCACAGGTTCAGTACCAGTTGAACTTACTGAAAGATCACAAAAGGGTTCCATATCATTAAGGTATTTTGTCCAAAACTCTCATGCCATATCAATAAATTGTGCCAATACTGTCACATCCACCTCGTCGAGTTAACGAACTATGGAATTAAGTGATGTATTTGGGGTGAAAACATTTGCGTGAAACCCAAATATAAACTTGTATCTATGTCGGTATATAAACTGAAAAATGGACTATATCTAATTGGTTGGATCCAAAATTTGACAAATACCCTTGGAATTTTTTTTTAGTTTTTATTTTATTTTAATAAAAGTCATAGATGATTTAATTGTCATTATCGAGTAATGTTACACATACGTAATGTTCTTAACTTTATTTTTTTTATTGCATGTATTTTTTGAATTTTTTTTTAATTTTCTAAGCTAAGAATTACTTAATTTTATAAGATACAATCATTAATTTGTATATTGTATTATAATAAAATCTAAAGTTTTAAAATATAAAAAAGTAAATAAAAACCTGGTAATCCTTGGGGTGTTCACTTTGGGCATGGGCCTGCAGATTGCCAAAAAAACAGAGTAACCTCCATTTATTTTCTGAAACCAGAGAGATCTATTAATTAAATGCCATAAAAAATTGCAATTATGTTAAGAGCATCGGTCACGTGATCTGGGCCCTAGATTGTTGTTAAAATCACCTTTTGATTTTAATCAGTGTAGACGGAAATCCAAATCTTTGTTCTGAAGCTTCTTGCACAGAGAAAAGATATTTATTTTCCAGTCTGCAGCAATTGTTTCAACTTCTGCCCTCTCAACTATAATGGCTATTTTGTGGAGCTTCAAAAGAAGAAACAAAGGTACAAAACCCTTTTTTTTTTTTTTTTTTTTTTTTTTCAAGATGAAACTAAGGAATATCATTCGTTGATACTTTCGTATCTGTATCTTGTTTTCTTTTCTTTATTTTTCTAATCAAATCTGAATCCTTAAATGTACTCTTTGCTTGGTAAATCAAATGAAGTAATGAAAAAATTCAATGCAGAAGACAAGTGGTGGTTTACATTTATTATAGTAGGAGCAGCTCTATTGGTTCCCTGTTTGCTACTTATGCTATTCGATATGGAGAAACAAGGCAAAAGGTGAAACCAGCTAGCTTGAACAAATAAATATGATTATTAATCATCAATTATGGTAATTAGAATGTCTTCTATGTATTGATTTAGTGGGAGCACAAGCAACCAAAAGAAGCTATTACTGAGCTTGGAGACGACTTCAACCTCTCACAACATGTAGCAACTAACAACACAAGAAAATAATCAGAACATGAAGGATGAACTAAATATATTTAACTTTCAAACATTGCTGCTGCTACAAACAATTCTCAACTACAAATGTGCTGGGAAAGGGTGGTTTTGGTGCAGTTTATAAGGTAAACGTGCTTATGATCTTTATTGATAGAAGTTGCGTAAGAAGCAATTTCATAGAGTTTTGATTTCAGGGAATATTACCTGGTGGGAAAGAAATAGCAGTAAAGAGGCTCTCAAGAAATTCAACCAAGGAATAGAAGAGTTTCAGAATGAGGCTAAGCTCATTGCAAAACTCCAGCATACAATCTTGTTAGACTTTTAGGATGTTCTCTTCAGGAAGAAGAAAGGATTTTAGTCTATGAGTACATGCCTAACAAAGCTTGGACTTCTTCATTTTCGGTAGCTTTTTCAAAATCAAGATTTTTCAAATTGAGTTTCTCACTAAACACTAATCTATCATTTTTTATTTGGTTTTGTGATAGATTCTCACAAAAAAACATATTAAACTGGAAGAAACGGGCGACATAATTGAAGGAATTGCTCAAGGACTTATTTATCTACATAAATACTCAAGATTAAGAGTGATTCACAGAGACTTGAAAGCCAGCAACATTTTACTAGATGATCAAATGAATCCAAAAATATCTGATTTTGGTATGGCTGAATCTTTGGGTGAATGAATCTTAGCAAATACAAATGAATTGTTGGGACATAGTAAGTATTGGTAAATTTACAACAAAAAAACATGAGTGGTTTCCTTTTCTGTAACTAATACTATGTTTACTTTTTACAGTGGCTATATGTCCCGGAGTATGCCATAAATGGTATTGTCTCAATAAAAACAGATGTATATAGCTTTGGAGTTTTAGTTATAGAGATTGTGAGTGGCAAGAAGAACAGTGGTTGCTATCACCACAGCATGCACTCAATTGTAGGATATGTAAGTTCTCCCAAAAATTTGTAATTTTCATAAAGGTATAAGATCTAACCTCGATCACTTGTGTTTCAGGATGGCAACTATGGAATGAGGTAAACTAGAGCGAACAAATGGATGAATCTTGCTCTTCTGATGAAGTACTGAGAGCTTCATGTGGGTCTTGTGCATACAAGACCAGGCAATTGACAGACCCAAAATGCAGAAGTCCTATCCATGCTCACAAATGAAACTATGCTTCTACCTGCACCAAAACAACCGCGTTTATATCATGATCTAATGAAGAGTTAGAATCCTGGAAAAAAGGTTGAAGATTGTTCCTAAATAATGTAACAATCTGTGATGGATGCTAGATAAACTTAGTGGTAATTTATTTACTAGTATCAGTGCAAAGTACAGGCAAACACACCTAAGCATTCATCTGATCTAATAAAAAGAATGAATGTTTCCTTAACTCATGTATATATATGCCATTGCAATTATCACATTTTGGGCTTCTTTGTAACTGGAGTATCAAATTATTAAGGTTATCACAGAAGTGTTTTTCAAGATAATTCCCAGGGTCAGGTTAGCAACTGACTTTCGTCTAATAGGCTAAGTCCTTATCTCCATATGCTCACATTTTTATCATATAATACAATCAAATTTATAAATTCTGCAAATGCCTCCTGAAAATTCACATACGAACTAAAATTAATAAGTGGAATAATATTATTATTGTCGGATATGGTTCATATGAAGGCCTTGATGGTAAAACCATTCAATAATTGGGTTTAGAATTAATTTGCAAATATTGGTCTGGTTTGGATTAGATCAGGTAAGCCCATATGAGATTATTTGTATTAGTGAAAAACCACCTCTCCTTTTGTGCCGGATGACAAGCCCTTTAACAGTTGCGAGAGAGGCAATTCCAGGTTACCATTAAAAAAAAAAAAAAAAAAAAGTGAAAAGCTACATACTTTGATTATTGTATTCTACAGATTTCTGAAACTCAATAAAATACTCTATTTGAATGCTTGACAAATTCCTTATTGGAACAAACCAAGGTAAACCGATTGTCCTGTTATTTTTCTACTTTATTATTGTGTGTTTGTCTATGGTTTCAACAATTATGATTTCCACTAGCCACTTGCTAGACTACTAACTGGACAAATTGACTATATTCCTATAACATATTATTCCCCTTTATAAATTGTACTATACACAAAAAGAAACCGAATTGGCAGTGGAGATGTTAAAGAAGTCGATCTATGTGCTTTGCATACACATCCTTTGTTGACTAAAATGATTAATTAAATTAATTTGTAGAAATTGAAGTTCTAAAATCCTACAAAAATCACTCTTCATGATATTAGTTGATTGACAAAAGCTATTGAATAAATAATTTTTATTAATTTCATACTAATTAGATTATATTCAGTAGTGTAACACTGGCCATATAAGCCTTTCTCAAGAGTAGTCTTTTATGCTTTCAAACTGCTAATCATCTGTTTAATTACAAACTAATACACCTGTTATCTTGTCGATAGCAATTTGAATTGTATGAGACACATAAGAAGATTACTTGAATGACTCATTTTCAACCATTGAAGTCTTTTTCAATTGCAAGAGCACTTTCTCCTAGGGATCGTGTATTGGCGATTAAGTTCCTCTTCTAATAGGCTGATGTCCTTTGAATTAGATGATTCATATATCATGATTGGTATAAATTGGGAACAAAATTCAAAATGGGATTCACTATTGTAAAGAGACAGCTTTCATACCACCAAGTCTTGGTCGTGCACTGAGGTCTACTCCATCAAGTCTTTGGTGAAGCACTAACGAGGAACTAATGGATTTAGTCTGGATCATCCAGCAGCTCTTTTTCTACTTTCTAATAATAAAATAACACAAATGTCTACGGGGCCAATATTCTTGCACAAAGAAAGGGCTTATGCAATGGTCAACCATTTCGCCTCATTATTATTTTCTCCACCGTAACTAACACCACAAGCTGAGATTAAAATCTGTTATAACCCAAGCCTAATAAACTAATTCGCAACACAAACAAACACAAATAAGATTCAAGATCAAAGAACCACACACACACAAAATCAAGACACGAATTTACTGTGGTTCGTCTATCCAATCTTGGATAGACTACATCCACGTTGAGCTCTGAAATACGGATACTCACAGCACTAAAAGAATATCCAACGATTACAAGAAGACAACCATAAAAATCTGTCAAAACAGATCAACTCTCAACCTAGGCCTATTCGCTCAAGAATCTCTCAAGAATCTGCAAGAAACAGAGGACAAGAACCAGCCTCAAGAAGGAAACGCAACCCTCTCTAAATCTACCCAGATTATACCCAGAAAGATCCAGCAAATACTCAACCCTAGTTGCTCTCTCTTTTTCTCTCACGAACCCTAATTTCTGTTTGACAAAAACGCGTTACACATTCACATCACTATTGCTTTCTTTATATATGCCCGTATAAGTAAATATCAGCCCTTAGATATGTCTTGATCTAACGGCTAGAATATCACCACTGAACTTAAATGAAACGACCCCGTTTTGGCTTCACATTATTTTTCAAAATCTGAGTAATCTTTGAACTCATATAATTCAAAAAACTGAAACACTCCACAAATCAAACATACATCAAACCAATTTCTGCTTGCAAATTATTCTGAATCCCAACTGTTTGCCAGAATCCAATTTTGTGATAGGTCCAGTCTCAAAGATAAAAAATAGATTGGCTAATAGAAACGGCTTTTAGATCATCTCCAAATGACTCTTTATATAACCCAAACTCTTTATTATAAAGAGTTTATCCATAAAAATAAGAGTCTAACATACTCTTTATCTTTAAAATATAAATTAAAGATTGAGTTTGGCTCTCCACATTTAAAAAGTCAAATTTCACTCTCTATCCTAATTTTAATTAATAAACTACAAGTTCCTATACATTTTATTTAGTAATTCTCTCTCTCGTTAAATCTTTTTCTTAAAAATAAAGAGCATCTTCATTAAATTTAAAGAGTCTATTGGATTTGAATAAAAATTGTGTTCTTTATATTTAAAAATTAATGAAGATACTCTTTATTTATATGAAAGATGTTCTTAAAAATAAAGAGCACCATTGGAGATGCTCTTAACCTACATCTATGGGTAAAGATAAAAGAAGAATTTGACTGAAAATGGCATGTCCAAATTTGGTGGTAAATCACAAACCCGAAATCCCAATACACCCCATGTTTAAAATACTCTCTCTCAACATGCTCAACTTTATTAGTTTCAACTGAAATATTTGATTTGAAAATTCCACTAGTGCCACTCATGAAAAATATATTATTATTGATAATAATACGAATACTATTAACAACATTTTGAATTGTATGAGAAACATGAGCAGAAACCAAATTGGCAGTGGGGATTTTAAAGAAGTTGATCATCTGTTCATTCATATGTACAGTTTCTCTTATTGTGTGTATCTTCTAACTATATTTCTGTGTTAGAGGATACACAGAAATATAGTTAATC